CTTATGGGTACACAGAGCAGTTGAGATAAATCAGGCAGGTTATTTGTGAATCTGTCTTTGGTGGCTGGAACAATAGTTCTGCATCAGGGCAGTTATTTGAGATTTGACTTACTAGTCATATGGTGCGCTGGAGATGTTGTCCGACAGGAGTTCCGCTCCGACTCTGCTGGGGTGCAGGCCATCAGCGCGAAAAAGCCTAGGACGCTCCCAGAAAAGATTCCATTTATTAACAAAGAGCAGTTTCTGTTCTTTATCACAGAAACAAATGCAAAAAATCTTGATAAAGTGCAACAGAAGGGTCTGAGATTAAATTTACAGGGGGATATAACAGAGTTTATAACAGAAAACAATATTTTCGGAGTATGATGATGTTTAGTAATCAGATTTGAAAGTAGCTTTAGGTTTCCTGACAGCTCTTTGATACAAAGACAATGCATCCTTTAAGTGTTCATACAAGATTTGTAATTTGTCGTTTTTCCATTTTCTTTCTGCTTTCCTGCAAGTTTGTCTCAAAGTGTGAATATTTTGACTAAACCAAGGTTCTGACTCGGGTTTAGTCTTGTACAGCTTAAAACATACATTAAAATGATGCTCAGTATTGCAGACTCAAGCGACAAGGGAGTACAGACCTCGTTAAAAAGCGTTGTAAAATCTTCGCAAAAATGAGATGAGTAAAAGCATGTTTGTTTTGTATCAAGACCTGATTTCTGAGAAAGCTGAGGAAGTGACATAGTAAACATAACATGAGAATGATCAGATATAAGAGATTCAACAACTCTAACATCAGTGAGATCGGAGCCTTGTTCAATGACCAAAGATTCGCCAGTGAGACACCGCCATGATAAGGCCTTAGTTTAATCAGAGGAAAAAAGTCACGTCGAGGCAGGACCGGAGGGTCAGAAGGAGCAACAAAGCCAGAGACAACAGGACGAAGCCATCGAGATGAAACGTCCGGCAAACGCCAAGCAGCGAAGCGGCTAGGGTCTGCGTTCCATGGCTGAAAGACGGAGCTGGGTAGGTAACCTGGATGGGCCTTTAGTCTGACAACCACCCCTCCACGTTTCACGTACTATCAAGAGGCCACCGGCATAGGAAATCTGGAATATCCAAAGGTAGACTCTCACATGGTTTACCAGCGTAACTTCCCAGTTCTGCACCATGTAAATTCATGAAGGAGCTTCGAATATACAAAAGTGCCTGACGATCATACACCAGAGGCGTACAGTAGTTGCAGCATACAAACGAACATAAAACAATAAAACACTGAACATAACAGGGGGCAGCAGACGGCCAGCCACACTCACAGATGCCATCTTGATTCTTGATAATAACGCTTCCTCCAGTGAAAAAGTGTTCAGGTCTGAATCAGGAGAGAAATCTGCACAGATCAAGCAGCGTTTAAACAGCTCTAAACAAATATGTGACTGGATTTTGATGTGAGAGACAACAGCAGATGCACTTTTTACTGGAGGAGGTGTTATTATGGATTATAGACTCAATGTATTTTAGTTAAAAACGTGTTAATGCTGGATTAGTTTCAGCTTTTGTCTTCTCCAGATGATAACTGATGGACTGGAGTGCTGTGGATTACTTGTGGATTATTGTGATGTTTTTATCAGTTGTTTGAACTCTCATTCTGACGGCACCCATTCACTGCAGAGCATCCATTGCTGAGACACTGATGCAACGCTACATTTCTACAAACCTGATGAAGAAACAAACTCATCCTGATCTGGGACGAGCACATTTACATTTTTGGGTGAACTACTCCTGTAGTGTTTTATAAAGAATCCAATATATAAAATACAAATTTCTATAAATGAGACTTCAAACAGTGTTTTTCATCTGGACTGTGATTGTGTCTGTATAACAGGCTTAATGACACTCTTTCCGTGATCGTAGCTAAAGGGCACATCGAGCAGCGTCTTGAGGAGGAGAGGCAGAAGATGGTGCGAGGAGAGCGTTCAGAGGGACGATACCTCACATTCTTCCTATCTCAGACCGGAGTTCCTCTGAAATCTGTGTACAGCAACGTGACGGAGCTGCTGCTCGCTGGCATCGACACGGTACGAACCTCACAGCGATCCGGCCGTTAAAACACTTCACAGCTGAAGGAATGAGTCATTCTTCTGAGAGATCTGCTGAAAATCATGGCTTCCTTAAGGAAAGCTCAGCAGGGGCAGATACTGAGTTGATCAGATTAATCTGCGTGGTATTAAAGCTCAAGAACGACAACTTAACTTTAATTATAAAAATATCTATAATGACAAATGTATTATTGTCTATACCAACACACATTAAAGTTCTGTTCATTATAAGTGCGCTGCAGTTTCGTCGTCTGCTGCTTTAAACGCTCCTTAAAGTCTAGTGGATTCTGATTGTCTTCAATGTTTTTATCAGTTATCAGCTGGAAAAATGGCATTGAAGTGATTTCAGTGATATGGTAGAATCACTGAAATATCGAATATAGAATCACTTTTAAATTTACATTGTTATAGCAGTGTTAATATCATTGAGATACTATTACGTTTTTTGTTAATATTTTGAATTAGATTTTTTTTTATGTTAATTTAAAAGTTTCTGTAATTCTGTTGTGTTTTTGTTTTACGCATTGTAGCTCTTCAGAAGAGACTCACGAAGCCTCCTTCATATCCCAACCGAGAGACGAGTGAGAAGAAAGCTGTGCATTTATAGACGCCTGTATGTCAAACAAATGAGGAGAAAGCCCATGGAGAGGAGCAGCTCACGGAAATGAAGTTTTGGTGCTACCGTGTCTGAAATATGTGATTTTTGTCAGTTTCTTGAATGTAGCGTTAAGGAACACTGCAGACCCGCCGCCTTTGGTCTTACTCCGTAATCTCATTGAGACTTCAGTAATCATACAGTGAAAGATGCCAATGTTGGAGGCCACAGCCTTATTTTCACATTGTTGATTTGAGTGTGAAATTCAGAACTTGTATAAGATCGGCCGTATATTCAGGAATAATATCAGACTTGAAATAACTGCTGATGAAACTACATGCAGTACGATTACCTCATAGATCACACAATAGTTCTATACTGAATAATTAAAACTTTTGATTGTTTGGAGTAAACTTTCAAGGTAACTGCATTTGCTGTGTTCTTAAAAACATTCAGATTGCTGGTTATAATGTCTTCATTTTAATAACAATGCACAAAAACGTCACTTTCTGGCTCGCTCTTGTAATTTAGGCCATGCATGGTAATTCCCCCAAAGCTTGTTTAACCTACTCTAATAGCAGGTTTTCTCTGCAGGTGAGTGCTGGGTTGTGCTGTTCTAGTAAAAAGGACTGTGGAAGCGCACAGGTGGAGCAGAGAAGCAAAACTACTGTTCAGGGTTTCAAGTGCAGGTCAGTTTCATCTGTAAATATGCTATTGTAGTTTTGTCTTTGTTTACTTAGTTAAGCAGCAGCAGCCCGTTGCTCATCAGTCATCACTCAAAATACTGTATAAAGGACATCAGTATTATCTATTGTAATGTTACAGTAGTAATTTAGCAGACAAATAATCATATTTTATTAATAGGTTTAGAGGGAGCTAGGGCAGACAACAACACAACCCTTACGGAAATTAACGATGATTTTACTATAAATCCAAAGACAATGGTTACTATTGTATAACCTTCCCAACACTGCAGATTGGTTGCACACATTTTGACCATGAAGTTTTGCAACAATAGAACTGAATGTTTTTGTGCCCTTTATGTATTTGAAGCCCGCATTATAATCATAGCAGTTTAATATAAATGATGATATGCAGAAAACACAGGCATATTCCACCAAAAATGTTAAGCTGCACATACACAGCATTATGTAGGAACAGCACAGTTTCTGCTATTTAAAGACACAGGAGTCTCACGCTCAGTGCACTGCTGAAGAACACACAAACCCTGCCCACAGCCTGTAGAATGGGGCGGGGCTACACACCTCACTCCGCCCATAATGACTCTCATTGGCTCGTCGTCTTTTATAGGCATGCATATGTTCATTAAGCCTTTATTATAACACACATTATGAGAAAAGCATTCACCTGCATCTGTTAATTGGTGATAGAAATTAATTAAATGAACTAGGAAATGTTTATTCGTCAGTGGTGGACAAAGTACTTAAATTAGTTTGTTTTGAGTTCATTGAGTTCTCAGGTAACTGCATATGGCTTACGAAAAACTAATAACAGCAGCTTTCTGCTGACCTGTGTGTGTATGTGTGTATTGCCATGTTATATATGAAAAAGAGGAAATGTAAAAGTGTGTCAGCATCATTAATCCATCATAATTCATTTCTTTTCACAAAGGAAACCTGAAAAGTGAAGGTTTTCACCTCTCCTGCTGAATACCATCAACCAAAAAATAGTTTTGTTGAAATGTGAGGCCGTTTGTATGTTAGCCTAAACACCAGCTCAGGTTTAGTTTTATTTATAAATTGCACTGCTTTTTTCCGTATAACTAAAGACGGCCACTGTAGTTAAACCAAATAACATGAAAATATGGGGGAAATGATGTTTTGGCAAAACCAATACATAGAGGTAGCAATGCCGATTTAAGGAAAGACTGCAAAGTTAGCAAAACAATGTGTAATGCTCCGGTACACAGGGAGAAGACCAGAGGCCATTTTTCTGAATGGATGTCAATGGAGGAGAGGCTTCAGGACACGTAAAACAGCCGATCATTTAATGAATCAACTGCCTATCACGTAATCTTCAACATGTTTGACATTAAAAATAGTTCAATCCAAAACAAATGTTTACACACCCCCCCCAAAAATGCTGTTTTATAAGTCATGGACAATTCTGTGGCAGGTAGAATTCAGTTTACATCACTTTTCATTCATTTCTATGGTGTCCATAAACATTCACACAACTCTGACTGAAATTCAGTGCTGTGATGTGATTGGTTATCAAGGCACACGTGAGTCACGTTGACCATTATGCTTTCTCAAATGGTATAGTCACAGACCCTGGTATATCTCCCTATAATAAAGCATCTCTGGAGGTAATCACTCAAAAAATGAGGAAGATTAAAAATGGCCAAGCAACCTCCACTGGACCACTTGTGATGGACTGACCCACAATCCTCTGGTCAGAACTGGACAAAACTAAAAAAAAAACAGCTAAAAATCGAAAAAGAGACATAATGACCCAGGTGGATCACAGAAAACACAAATCTGTTTAAATTCTGCTCAATTCTCTTTAGATGTAGACTGGATAATTACAATTATGTCCATAAAATCTATTAAAACAGGGTGGCCGCAGGTCCTTAAAAAGTCTTAAAGTTTTCCTAAAAAAAAGGCCTTATAAAGTCATCATGTCTTAAATTTGGATTCAGTGGGTCTTATATATTTTTGGTCACAATACCGCAAACATTTCTCCAGTCTGACGGACCCAGTGACTGTTTACAATCATTGGACAGATGATTTTTCATCAGATGATTTCAAGATTTTTCCCCAGCTGTAGTTACCGCGTCTTCAGAGAGAATTGCGGCAGCAGAATACAGGTGGAACTAAAAAAATAAATAATAATAATAATAATAATGAATTCCGGGTTGAACTAGCTAGTTGACCAGCTTCCTAGCTACTTAAATGGGTTAATGCAAGTTTACTGAAAAACGGCTCGAGAATGTTACTTGCCTGACGGGACAAATAGCCTGATTAAAACTTCGGTCAACAAACAAGTAGTGAAGTATATCAAGTTACTTACATTTTAGACACAATATTGACTGTTTTGTTCTGTTTCACTAATGAAAATAGTTACAAAGAAAGATCAGAACAGAAGTATTGCACGTTCTCCGAGCAACACTCTGCGTTTTTGTTACTGAATGATTCAGAGTATTGAAGAAATCGTTTGAGTGAATAAGTGACATTTTTCCCCAACATTTCTTATTTGTATATTCAAAATTTTATTTAAAATATTAATCTCATAACATTATTTACTGCAGTTGTAATTTTGCAGTGTAAATTATTGAATTTGATTGGTAACAGCCCTGTAGTGTCTATGGAATTTAATAAGGTGATATTTAATAAGGTTAAAAATATTGGCCTTTATGAAGGTAAATAACATCCTGGAATAAATATTAAAAATATGCAGATTTAAGTATGTAAAAGCTGGTAGAACACTGAAAATATTGCTTCAGAATAAATCGTTTACTCCACCAAAAATCTCGGCGATGCAGTGCTTCTGTGGGGATATTTTGTATGAGATATTGTCTGTTGATATGAAAAGTTCACTGTATATCATAATAATAATATTACATATATGTACAGTATATAAATTAATGTACATCACAGGTTTGGTCTTAAATTTCACATAAGGTGGTATTAAAAACGTCTTAAATTTACCTTGTTCATATCTGTAGACGCCCTGTAAAATCACATTTGAATTGTGAATCTAAATGATGATCTATAAATCTAATCCCATTACATGGATTAGGCAAATTAATCATGTGTATAAGCTTGTTCATGTGCACCTTGTTTTGTCACAGGCTTTGCATTAATGTCAGTTCTTTGAGAGCGTGTCTCTGGATCTCAGGGGGATGCGGATCGTAGAGTTGGGTGGAGGAACGGGTCTTGTTGGCATAGTGGCTGCACAATTAGGTAAATCATCGAGTTGTGCAATTGCAATTCTGAAAATGCTGGCACATCTGTAAACTAATCAGGTTTGTTTTCATCTCAACATGAATTTCTTTTTATGCGGTGGAAGCAAAGAGGAGAACTGAAAATCTCACACTCAACCAGACTTTCTCAGGACTTCTACGACCGTGTGTAACCGCAGATGTCCTGAGAAGAGATCCTGAGAACAATATCAATATTTATAAAGCCACTTTGAGATGAGTCATCCATCCGTCCATCCATTCTCCAAACCGCATTTCCTATGTAGGGCTTCAGAGTCTATTTTTATATCTGGAATTGGGAGGTTTGAATATGTACGGTATGTATAAATTCATTTATAAATTCCAATTATCAGTAAAATTGCTTTCTCCATTAAACTCAAACATTTTTATAACTGCAGAGTGATTTGTCAATTGTAACTTACTGACAGTATTGGGGAGTCACAGAATACATGTAATGCCATTATGTATTTATAATACAAAATATTTCTCTATTGAAATCATTGGTAATCCCATTACAGTTACATTAAACATGTAGATTACGTAAGGGATTACCATATAATTTAACTGTCATTTGTTTATTTTAAAGTGCCCCTATTATGCCATTTTTAACTGCCATTTCTACAATAGGTTTACATGCATGCAAGGTCAAAAAAACACTTTCGTTTTCTCAAAATATGCATTTAATATCACCTCATTTTTCAGCGATTCTCAAATGATTCGTTCGAAGCAGTTCTAAGATTCAGTCTCTCTAAACCCCTCCTTTCTGTGAACCTACTCTGCTCTGATTGGTCAGATGGCCCAGTCTATCTGATCAGTCATTGGACCAATCTACCACATTCAGCGCGTGTCGGAAATGATACGCCTATTGCCATAGTTATGTATTTTGAACGCTCGTTAGAACATATAAACATCTATTATTTATCTTACTTACAGGTTGTGATTCAGAGGAGTCAGCTGGTCCAAATAAACTTTAGTAATGATTCATCTTTCAAGAGCAAGTGTTTGTGAATCCCGCGTTGAACTCCCCGGGATTAGAGAAGCAGTCATCAGTGAAATGATGGGAACACAAAAAAAGATTGGGGTTGTACTGCTGTGGTACAGTGGAAAAATGAATTTTAACCACTGATTCTTTGCAGCCCAGGGCGGCATCTTGCTGGCAGCGCGATTGGGATTTTACCACTCATTTGCACGGCAGGTCAAAATCATGTTACAGTGTGGGTTATTTAACCTGGTCAGGACTCGGTTTCTCACTAAGACACATAGGCGGAGGGTGAACCACCTCCAGGTTAAGGCTAAAAGAAGCCTTATGTTTAGCCTAATAACTACACGCATCACAAACAAGTCTTTTGAGGCAACTAGCAGATACGGGGCGTCATGTCATAAAATATTTTTACTACTGAATTTGTATTTAAACTGATCACAATTTAATTAAAAAAATTGTATGTTACGCTTCAATTTCCACTGTTATTCAAACAGCAAATAAATTATATACAGAAATCGAACAAAGAACATTTACATTAACATATAGAACATTATCACTGACTTCAGTGTACTACAATGTGTCTACAATGTGAAATGAATCTTTTACACCGTACGTACATCTGCACTTTGTTGTTGAGAGAATTGATGAGAGAATTCGCAAAAGAGCAGAATTCAGTCAGTAAACGCGGCACTCAACAAAACTCCGGCGCTTCAGCGATGACTGATCTGAACGCCTCTGATTGGCCGCTGCATTCATAAGCTCAACAGAATCGTGTGTGATTGGTTATATAGCACAACGCAAAAAAAAAAAAAAAAACTTATGAAGAAATATGCAGCGTGAGCAGATCTAAATTTAATGCGCAATAATACTTTTCATTTCATTTTCACTTCAGTCAGTTTCTCTAAGGTGACTTAATTAGGGCGAGTGGGAGGTTAAGCTATCAGGAGCCCAATTTAGGAAAAAAAAAGAAAAGAGGAAATGTGCAAAGATAAACGGTATCTGCGGCTATCACTCATCTTGCTAATATACACATAGGGCATGCCTTTGTCTGACTATCAGGCTTATATAAGCAGAAAGTAAAATGTGATCTTGTAATATAATGTTTTTTTTTTTTAACAAACATAACATCACTCACTTTATTGATGTTTTGCTGTTCAGTTGTGTGCTTTTTTTTTTTTTTTT